TCCCCTGTTGGCAGGGACAAAACCTAGGTTGCAAAGCAGCACACCTAAACCACACTGCTCTTCGAGGAGAATCCAGCCTTTGCTTTGTGTACCAGTGGCTGCTCGTGCCTGGCAACATCAAAGTACGGTCCTGTTTACCAAGCAGGACACAGGCAAGGCAGAGGCATGAGTCAGCCCACGCTTTCATCAAGATGTCTAGACTCTTCTCCGCTGCCTAATGCTTGCCTTCCCGCCCGCTCGGTCGCCTTTAAGTTAGACCAGCATGAGCCTGAAGAGGTGCAGGAGCTAAATGTCTTTCATTCCTTCATAGACTAGACTAGACTATTTCAGTTGGAAGAGACCTACAATGATCATCTAGTCCAACTGCCTGACCAAAGTTAAAGCATGTTGCCGAGGGCATTGTCCAAATGACTCTTAAACACTGACAGGCTTGGGGCATCGACCACCTCTCTAGGAAGCCCGTTCCAGTGTTGGACCACCCTCTTGCTACAGAAATGCTTCCTCATGTCCAGTCTGAACATGTCAAGTCTTGTAGTCCTTTTAAAGAAAAACAGTTGCGCTTTGGATCAACTGTGAAACTGGGAGTCCTGGCAGGTCGCAAACTACACGCGGTCATCTTTTGTAGAGTTTTACTGAAAAGGCACGGAGTTTCTACTAGTACTCCAGGCATCACCTGTAAAAATAATCAGTCAGCCTCACAGTTGAAAATGCATCAGAAAAACATTCAGGAACTCAATTTTTGGACAGTGATGTCCTACTAGTGTCACAGATCCCTGACTTCTACTTAAAGATGTTTGTCTTTTTATTTCATCTTTGTGCTCTTCCGCTAATTTCTTACATTCATTATCAGCATTCATGGCTTAAATTTTTTGGCTCAAGGACTAGTATTTACCATGTCATATTGAATCTGGGTGAAACACAGTCTTTATTTTAAAGAAGTTTCAACTTTTGTTCTCATGCCTTATTGTAACAAAAGCAAATACATCCAAATTCATCAGAATTTGGTTTATATTTAAAATTTTGAAATGTCATTTCAGAATCACAGTGGGATATTTCATGCTTACATAAATTACATACTTATACACCAATTACAATTCAAAATGTTAGATCTTACTGACTCTGTTACTGTGCATTACTGACATGCTATTAAATAACGTAAGAAAAAAATTTTTAAAAGAATGTGTGCAGAAGGAACCAGTTTGGGGAGTGACAGCTTTGCAATAAATCTTGCAAACACTTCTTTCATTGAATCAGTACTTCCTAGCACAAAAGAAATGAAAAAAAAAAGTAATCAAAGTAATGAAGCAGCTTAATACTGTAGCTGTCTTTGGAGTAAACAGGTCTCAGTTTGTCTTGCACCTCCCTGTCATCCTGGGAAGCTCAGGTAATTCCAGATGCAGCTCAGCATGCAGAGCCCAGAATGAATGGACACCAGCCAGCTCCTCTGCCACCTTTAAAACGTACCTGCTCAATTTTACCTTCTGATCATAATTCTCAGTCCAAGCCTGAAATGGACAAGAGATAAGGGAAGTTTCTTATCTGTTTCACTGCACGTCCTCTGTGTGAAGTCTACAAACTGCAGCCATACTTGCTGCGGCACTGCCACTGTGTGCAGCTGGCAGCCGGCACCATGCTGCTGGGAATCTGCCTTGGCTCATTTTTCCTAGCTTCAAAACCGAAGCAAACCTTTCCCGTCAGAGGGCCAAATCCTGCCAATGACTAACTTGATCCTTAAGACTGGATCCCTGATGAAGTCTCCTTTAAGGATCACACTGCTCTGCAGTCCTGCCACTGGAAAAAAGTGATCTGTGCACACTAAGTGCTGGCAGGATCAGGCCCACACCTCCTAGGTTTGGCTGAATGAACTGCACACAGGGTTTTAGCGTGATTCAAGAGCAGATGAGCAAACATTTTCAGTCCACGCAGCACAGCCTCATTCCTCCAGGGAATGTCCTGTCTCCCGTGCTGTGTACAGAAGTACCTTTGTACTAAGTCCCAAGACTTCAAAAGCACCAACAGAACAAATTTCACCTCAGAGACCTATTGCTTTTTTTTCCCTCCTATTCCTTAATATCATCACCAGAAATTGTTGAAAAGCTTTTTATACCGCACTATTGGTATCACTAGCTGTGACCATTCCGATATGTCCTTTCATTGGCAGGGGATGCTCCCCTGTGAGGCCTGACATTAACCTTTAATCTGCCACCGAGAAGGACACTTACCAATAAAAACACAGGCAAACAACAGATTTAAGTATTAATTATTTTAACCTAGTTTCTTCCAGCCTAAATTATAAAAAATGGTCCCTGTGTCTAGAGGAGAATGACACAGATGCCACTAAGACACTCTGCTTCTTCTCTCCTGTTGCCATGTTTGTACTATTAAAAAAAATTTCCTACACACTAAGTTTGGCATTGGTTTGTATTAAGGATGTTCTCGTTGGTATCTCACAGCTTTTTTATTTAGGTAGCAGAGAAGACAATTCCCTGCCTCCTTCAGAGTAAGTCCACAGGCAGGTTAGGTGAGGGAGACATCTGAGAACCACTGGCTCTAAAAGCACCAAACTTTACTCCTGCTCTGAAGTAACAGGCTCACCAAACCATCTGAGAGTGCATACAGACTTAGGTTCCTTAACTGGGGCCAGTCTTCAAGGGGAAGCAGAAATCCTATGTAGGCCTACCAGCTCCAGTGGGGAAAACATACGTGTAACTTCCTCCATGCCCGTTAAACCCTCATTTCACCCCTGCTTTCTAAGAACTGGAGATGATCCAGTGCCAACAAGCAGGTATTTCCTTCTGGGTCCTTTAACATAGGTATCTTCTCACGCTGAACATCAAAACAGTTCAGCCTGGTCCCAAAACCCTGCTATGACGTGATCTCCAGCCTGCACTAGAGAAACATCTGCACTGGAAAACTCATGCTTTCTATGTCCACACTTGGTCTTAGATGAAAATTAGCTCAGCTATAGTCCAAAGGAGCCCTTTTATGTCCAGCATATGCCTTGGCAGCTGGCCAGCAGTGCTCTTCTGAAGCCATCCAGCAAAGTGACACCATCAGTTATAAGATCTATGTGTGTCAGGTCACTGGGTTATAAAACAGAAGTGTCATAGGCATGTAAGGACATGATTTGGGCTCTGCTGTGAACAAAGATTACATTATTTTTGTTGAATCAGATTACTATCTTGAGATATATTCCAGTGGGAAAGGGTCACTGCATTGTAATAGCATTTCTACTGGGAAATATCAGTTCCAGTATTCAGAATTGTTAAAAAATCCTGAAACAGGTAAAGATGCGAATCAATAGGATGCTACTATTACACTGCAGATAGCATATTGGTGAGATACTGTGTGCTGGGATGGAAAAATCCAGCTTAGACTGTATACTGCACTGTGTTGGACTACAGTAAAAATCAGAAGTCACTCTTTC